CTGTTTAAAAAAAGACTAAACATGAATATATTATACACAATCAGACTGAGAAGTGGCGAGGCACTTTGACGTGCCAACGGCCCGAAAATCAGTGATGCAACTTTCACTGTTGAGTCTGTTTTGGTCAATGCATAAGTGGAACCATTGTGACAAGTGGAACCCGCTGAGTGGTGTTGTTCACCGATGAGTTATTGCTTTAAAATGAAAGTGTAAGACAGGTTTGGAAAAGGAAAATGGGTTCAATTAGCACTTGAAATAACAAGAGGCCACTTGAGCTAAATTCCTAGAAAAATGCACAACAGGCCACAGACTCAATAAATAGAGATGAGTTGATTTTCACTGTGATTTTTGTTCTCTTCCTCTCACTGCAGGCTGTACAGTCATGTATGAACTCTTATCATGAGAGGAAAAGACTTCAAAACCAACATGTATTATTACTTTAGCCAATATGGACTGATACTTTCACTATCCCCAAACTGAAACGGTATGAAATCAAACAGAAATACGAAAGACTAATATGGATTTATCTTGTTTTAAACACACATAAAAGGAAATGGACTGAAGGTTGGGGCACAAACTGAACATAACGCAATTCTTTGGACGCTCCGTTTCACAACATCACGCTTGATGTGCTTGATTTGTGAAGAGATGGAAGGTCTGATTGCTGCGGAGCCACGGCTGTGTTGTTGTGTCTGCCCACAAACTTCTAACAAAAGCTGTTATGTCTGAGACGGAATAAAAAGGTCAGGCATGGGTGTCGGCCGCAAAGTTAAACACAAGACCTGGAATGTAAAACCTGCTAAAGGCCCTGCCTATGCAGCTCTGATATATCTGCAAACCTCTGCTTAGATGAGGCCTGTCTCAGGGCTCAGCTGACATAAGAACGTGTTTATAATCAGTATCAGCATGTGCCACCTTTTCATATTCATGTGAGCATGATGTAACAACATTAATGTGATCGGAAAGAAGGTTTCAATCCCCTCGGGGTTTGTTTAATGTTGTCTTCTCAAAACCCAGAAGCATGGTAAAGCAACTCAGTGATTAATGCTATTAATTTCCACACCTCTAACCTTCTGTTTCCGCTTCTCCACATTTGGAGGTTGAGATGTTTTCTTCTAAATGTTTGGCGCTTACTTAGCATCTCTGCAGATGAGAGAGAGGAGTTTCCGATTTACATCGGGGTGATTCCGCGGAGATTGCTATCATTAGAATAACTTTATTAGGCTTTCTGCTGCATTTCCTGTTTGATTTACTGCGGAGTCCCAAGGGCTCATGGGAAGGCACTTAGGACTCTCCTGCAGGAGCCAGACCTGCCGATGTTGTGCTGCAGCAACCTGAGTGTAACATCCCTATTAATCTGGAGCTAAACGTAGCAGAAACATCACCAAGGTGCTGCCTAATAAATCTCTTTCGGGCCTTTAATGCAGCATGTGCACTCATTGGTGTGTCAATGTTTGTGTTCATCGAAAAATAACAAATATATCCACCTCAGGAATATGTGTATGCTAAAGGTTCTATTATCAATGAATAGTTGTGCCCGTTGTGAAGTTTTTTGAATGCTAGAAAATCAGTCAATAATCCATGTTTATTTAGAATTATTATATGAAATAGAAAATATCCTGCACTTATTGCTGTGTTTTCTAACGTAGAAGTCACTTGCTAGCTAGCTTGAGGCTAGCTTAAGAGCGAGTCGCTTGCTTGTTGGTAAACGTGTAGATCTGCCACCTGCTTTCTACAACACCACCTAAATCAGTACCAAGTCGCCCTTTGTCCTTGTTGAATGTGGCCTACCAAGGCAGCAAAGCACAAGGCACGATTGAATGGATTTCTAGTGTAATTGAACCAGTATTCAGGCGGGTTGGTCAGATGTTGTTAAACCAATTATTACTTAAAAATACTATCATCTGATATTACCAGAATGGTTTTAATTGATTTTTACTCTTCTTGTGATTTCTCTTTCATGAGGGCACTGATCACCACAATAAAGAATATTCCTTTCTACATTGAAACCTCAGAAAAGGCATCTTTAGACAAAAGGAAAGTAAGGAGTACATCCCACCTGCAAATTGTGCTTCTTAAACGTGTTTTTCACTCATATTTTTGTATTGTTCTTTCTTATGATAAACCAAAAATAATGAACCCTACTTACACAGCCTGAAAAAAAAACAAAAAGGGAAAATGAACAGCTGTGGATCCTATAATTGATCACATATCATCACGCACAACTAAAACTGTAAAGATTCATCTGTCATTCTTTAAAAGTTTATGCTTTTCATCACACACTGGGACAAATGTTCCACACAAGGACAACATGTTTGACCCGCCACAAGATTTCACGCAGTTTGTACTCTCACACATGTTTACATCATGTTTTATGTCAAGTTATGTTAATGTGGCTTCTCCTTTATGCAGATGTTCTGTTGACTCCCATCTTACAACAGAAAGAGTTAGATAGACAGTTTCTTGTCCATTCTGTAAAAATGTGTTGAATATTGTACGTTAGCTGATGAATGCTAACGCTAGCTATAGTACCACATGTGACAGATTCAAATACTGTGAGAGACAGAGCTAAGTTTTCAGTCGTTTACCGAACAGTGAGACACTTGACAGTCTGGCAAAGCTACGAGTTTCAAACCATATTCTTTTGAGTTGGTAAGTGATGTACAACGCAGGCTGGAAAAAATACAAAATACGATGCTCGCTTGGAATCTGCATTCATGGAGCCCCTGTTTCTGCAGAATTCCCTCAAGTCGTCTGTGAAGTGTTAATGCGCTCCGTTGATTGACATCTTCATACGTACTTTAGGGGTTTGTGTTCAGTGGAGCAAATAGTATACGTTCTTTAAATGTGTCCATCCTGCAGATGTGCATCCTAGCTATACAAAATGCACATTATCGCAATAACTTACACATATAAGTGATGAAAACTTTACTTAAATATTTCATCAGTGATGTTTTGTTTAAAGTGTCTTTTTAGCAATGGGTCTGTTTAGCATTTATACCAGTGATGGAATTGCACTCAGTACAAATACCCAAGTTTTGTATTTTATATTAATTTTAGTGTAGCCTACTGTACTTGAATATGTATATCAGTGTATGTATGTGTATGTATATGTATATATGTCAATCAACAGGTAAAGCAGATTAATAATATCAATAATAATGCATACAAATTATAATTATTGCAGATTATAGATTATAAATAAATCATTTAGGGACAAGGGGGTGAGATTAAATAAATTATACTTCTTCTCACTCCTTTTTGAACACTAGATGTGGCACTGTTTATGTTGCTAATGCTGTTGTTGTAAATGTCATTTTTTAAATTTCTCTTACATGACTATGCACTGCAACATTTGTTTTGTAATGTATTGTAATAAATGTATCAATCAATCAAAAAATCAATATCTATTTATAGCAATGTCCAACTTGTTTTCTTTACTACATTTATTATAAAGCTTTAGTTATTAATGACATTACAGTATAACATTTTACAACAAAATGAATGTTGTAATCATATAATATACTATTGTATAATTATATTTTTGCATTATGAGTACTTTTTTTTACTGACATGTTGATATTGAGGAATATGTGTATTTAATTAAATTAATTACATTTATATTTACCTATTAATAATATTATAATAATCAAGTTTTCATTGTGTAGTATTGCTGAATATAGACCCCAACACGTTAATAAGAGGCAACACTGAAACTTTCCAACCATAATTTGTTTTCAAATAATTAAATGAGATAAATTATTTGATCACTTTTAACAATGTTATACCTCTTCTAAATTAAACTGATATAAATAGTTATTTCACTTTAAAGATTTTAAGCTATTATTGGATTATATTAGATGGACATCATCTGACTACTTTTGCTTGGCGGTCTGCTCTGAAAGATAAATATGTGTAACAAACACAGCAGCGTCTATACATTTCACCGTGTTTAAATGAAGCTTTGCATCACCGTGTTTAAATGAAGCTTTGCATGGCCTCAGTAACTCCACCCTCAGCAGACCATGAGCGCCAACTCTGGAACTTTTATGTGGAAACTGTGTATTTGCTGTGAAATTCTACAAATATCACAAGAAGATACTTTTATGTTTTTCTCCCAATGGTGGAGTACCGCAGCGTGATGTGGCCTCATCTATGAATACTTTCTGGGAAACTTATCTTGTGTAGCCTGCTAATTTTTTAAATAAGCATCAGCATGAGCAGCCCGGGGTAACAGTCAGTGATTCATCAGTCACCATTCTTGTCGTAATTATGATTTCTATTTTGACATCTGGGGAAAGTCTTTGAAGTGTGTTTGATTCTGCAGAGAGCCCGCGAACAGGCTAATGGAGACGGAGTTAGAAACTGTTACCAGTATCGTCTGAGCAATCACCCATGACACCCACCCATGGCGAACCTCCAGCGCTTTGCTCAAAACTGGAGCTTTCTGGTGAGGAAAACAGCAGCTGAGATTTATTTCATCTCGTCATCCACACAAATAAACCTCTTGTTTGGTGTGTGTGTGGACAGTGTTCTTGGTTTTATTGTTTCCAGCTTCCTTTTAGGGTATTTCCCTTAATTATTGAATAAAAAAACTATTTTTTTCCCTCCTCCCTATTCAAGGTCCCTCCTCCCACCTCCAAAATCAAGTATATTTATAGGGAAGTATTAGCCATCTGTGTGGCAAACCCTTCTCTAAGTCTGAAGCAAATAACACTGATCCTTATGAAAACAGTGATAATGAGGAGAAGTATTACGCTGAGTTCCTGTTGTTTGCTGGTGCCTTCACCTCTGTTCGTCAGTGAGTCACTTGTAGTGTCAAAATCAGGAAATAATGAAGCTTAATGGTGCCTCTACTTTCTCAAGTGTGTCTTTTCTGTATCTCCTCACACGTGTTAATGAATCTTCTTCTCAAACTCCCCTCTTGAGAGCGTCTGACACTTCCTGTACATGTATGATTTGTTTCATGTGATTTTCTTTTCCTCTGAACACACACAATGTTACACTCTGGCTTTTTATTCATGAAAAAAGATGAGCAGAACATCAAGGGAACGCCAGCACAGACTGGCTGGCACATATCGCAGGGTGTTAACAGGTGAGGGTAATATCCTAAAGGTGCAGACACCTGCCTCACCTGGGGTTCACAGCGAGGTCAGGACACCTGTGCCGTTCTCTATCTTAACTCCCTGCAGAGGGCTTTGCTATTACAGGTGTTCACACCTAACATTTATTTATTTCAGATTTCACAGGTGCTTCAGATACACTCAGCAGTAGAAGAGCCCAGGTACAGTCGGTTTGAGAGGAAGAGGCACGACAAAATCTTGATTTCAATTTTGTACGGTGAGCTCTTGCACAAACTTCAAATATATTTACAATAATAAACAATCAATGATTCCATAAGATGTGATATTTACAGTTATTACAAATAACGAGTTCAGTGACTGCAGCTGAAGGAGACAGTAACTGGAGTTGATTTCTCTTAGCAGTAGATTTGAAAAACAATTCACATTGTTTCTTGTTTTGTTTGCAGAGAGGAAAATCCCACTCTGGTGTCAAAAGTCAAGTTAATGGCAAGAAATCTGTGGTACAATACAAACAGTTTAATTGTGTCTTTAACAATCAATAACCACTTCTAGTTGGAACATTTCTGCAGAAAGGAACCGAGAAACACTTATAAAACAGTCAGTCGTAACAAAATAACTGGTGTTGAAATAAACTCATAAAAAAGAAACACTTTTATACAGAATATTTATACAGGAATAGCTTTTTGAGTTGGATTGTTAACCAAAGGAAGACACATCGCAGACATCGATTTTCACACAGATTGCATATGTTTTTCTCTCTAAGGTGTTCTATAGGTTAGTCATTTTACCTAAGCTTATTTGCATGATAGTAAAAATTGCATACAACATTAATTGTGAAGCTTGTAGCATGAGTTGCTCGACATACAGCACGTTTTATAGGCAACCTTTAAAGCACATTTCTCCATTTAAAACGTTTAAGACACTTTTTGTTTTTACTGCCCATCGAAATCACATTTATAAATAGAAAAAAGATTGGTGGGATTTAAAAAAAGCGAACATAAACTTAAAAAAAAAAAAAGTAATTACATCAGAAACACTGCATGAACTGCAAATAAATAATGTCAGACAACATAAACATGGTGTAATTCACATTTCTAACTGTGTGGAAATTCAGAGAGTTACAGTGACAAAGGTTTTGCAAAATAATCTAACATCGGCAGTGCCGTATAGTACAAGGCATTTGTTGGCATAGTTTCTTTAAGACTGTATCTTTTTTTACAGTTACAATATAATGTCTATATATATATATTTATATTTCCTCCCTAAGAAATAATATGTAAAGACTGAGCAATTGTCGCAGGTTCACCTGGGCTGGGTGATGGCGTTCCAGAGTTTGGAGTGATTCATAATCACATTTTGCACTTTTTAAAAGAATAACTAATCCGCCAGCAGGCTCCAGACTCCACACCTCATCATTAAGGCCTTGTCAACCTCTTGGTCCTTGAATTCATTTGCTTTTTTTATTTATTTTTTTAAGATCCAGTTAAACATCACATACGTAAACACCTATCAAAGTCCTAGCAAACTCCAGGGGGACTTTGTTTTTCTTTTTAAATATAATCAGTAGCTCAAAAAGATAAAGTAAGTCAGTGTAAAACAACAGACATAGAGTGCAGTCAGCAAATATCCACGGCAACATACTTAGAATTTTTTTTTGTGTGCAGATTATTTAAATGATGCATCAGTCTTTACAGTGATAATAATACAAGTTTTACAAAATCCAAAAAGTAGTACTTGAGTCTGAAATGGGCTTTCCAGTGTGAGAGCGCTCAATTCACGTCAGTCTGCAGCGGATATATCTAAACACTCGCCGTACAGTCCGGGCGCTGTACTGATTAAAAACACTACTTTTCTGTGTTTGCAGTGTGGTGGTTCTGTGTCGGAGCGTCACATTTAGCACAGTCATCAGTGTGTGTGTGCGGGACCACTCGGTGTGTGTTCTACTCCGCGGCCTCGCGCTCTGACTCCGCCTGGGCCTCCGCGCCTCGGGCCAGCTGCTCCTCGATCTTGATGGAGAAGATGGTGCTGTTGGTCTGCGTGCTGTCCTCCATCTCCTTCAGCAGCTCTCCGCTCTCCCTGAAGTCCGTCAGCTCCTCCTCGAAGGCGGGGCTGCTGCTGCTGCTGCTGCTGCTGGTGGTGGTGTTGGTGGTTGCCGCGGTGCTGTTGATGTTGTTGCCGGGCTCCTTTGGCGCCTTGGCTGGGTGGTTGATATAGAAACGCTGGCTCTGGAAGAACTTGATGATGGTGAGCTTGGGCAGGTCCAGCTGGGCCGACAGGGTGTGGATGGCCTCCTCGTCGGGGTACAGGCCCACGTCCTGGATGAAGCTCTGCAGGATGCCCAGCGCCTCTAGGGAGATCTTCCCCCCACACGTGCGGGACTTCATGATCCCCCCGCGGCTGACCTCGTCCTCCGTCTCGGCCGGAGAGGCGGTGGAGGGCTGGCGCGGCGGCAACCGGGGGCCGGTGCAGGGCTGCATGAGCTGCAAGGGCTGCTGGGACAAAAGGGGTTGGCAGGGGTGCTGAAGGGAGGGCTGGTGCTGGTACTGGTGCTGCTGCTGGGACTGAGGGAGCTGAGCCTGCAGTGGGAAGAGAAAGGAAACGCGGATGTTATCAGTGAACACTTATCAGCGCTTTAATAAGGCCTTTCATTCAAATCAATTGAGTTGTGAGGGAAAAAGGGCCCACTGTGTAGAGAACAGTCACTTGGTTGTAGGAATTCTCCATGTAATATCTCATTGAATGTAATCAGTTCTGCAGATATGATTTTCCCCCCCTTTTTTTTGGATGTGGGAGATTGTGTCTCTCATTGTGGGGGTAGAGCACACACACACACACACACACACACACACAGTGAAGAGACACACTCAGCCCGACACACAGTTGGAAACTGGCCTCTCTATAATAGCCTCTGCTGCTTATCAGGCTCTATTGCCAGGCGGTGATAAACAAGCTCCCTGTGCACAATTCTCGCCGCGATGGCCTGGCTGATTTGCCGCAGTGTGAGAATGCTATCGATGGCTTTCACTCCGCTGTCAGAATCCCTTTAGTGTAAACACATGACACATTACTCGTAAAATGTCTCATTGTGTGGCTGGAGAGGGAGTGAGTGGGTAACTCGTGGTCCCTATTGACCCCGCAGAATGGGTGCTCTTTTATTTCTGAGTCAGACACTGTGGAATAGGTGTTTCATAATGAAGTTTGAAAAACAGCACTTTGCAGGGACTCTGTTTGCCAGCTGCATAAATGCACCCAGAGATGTGATTTTACTGTACCAATACACCAGGCTATGATAGTTCTTGTTGAGCAAATGGGAGCTAATTTGGCTAATGTATCGCGTTAGAGAAGGACCGGCACAAAATATTTAAACACTAGCCTCTTATGGGTGGTGTAAAACGACACTATTAAATCAGAAATAATCCTATTTTATCAATCTACAACCATTTATGTTCGCATGTAAAGTATGCACAAAATTCACTCATTCCAAATCTGCTGCTGTAGCTGATTTGTAAAAATAAATCATATTACTTTATTTATATCCAGTAAATGGCAGCCTTTGTGAAACACTGGCCACGTCTCCAAGTAACCAAGTAACTAATGAAACACTCAGACTTTTTATAGAAGTATTATTGTACTTCATTAAGATATTTCGACCGTTAACCGAGGCTGTGTGTTGTTTTCTATTCATCTGCCAGATGTCTTTTATAAAGCAGCTCTATTAAATAAGGCTAATGACATCTTTGAAAATGGCTTTTTGTGAAAAGTAGGAACTTTTAATTGTTCCTGTGCTTCTAATTAACAAGTGTTATTTATCACAAATTCCTGAAAGATTAGTTAAGATGAAATGAACTAGGGGGAAATTAGGTTTTCCACTTATTTCAGAAACTTAAAAATACGTACTTAGTAAGACCATGACTATTTTTTATACTGATCGATTAATCATTTGGTGTATGAAATGTCAGAAAATAAGCATCACACAAGAATACAAAAACAGCAAATCCTTTAGCATATTTTAAAAGACAGATTTCAGTGATGAATTGATTCTTAAAATGTTAAACCCTTATATTTGCTTGTGAGTGCATCTGTGTGTGAGTATGTTTCCTACATGTAAAGTTAGTATGTTATAAACTTGCGGCCCCGCTCACCTGTAGCTGGTCAGAGGAGAACTGCGTCAGGTGCATGGGGCGCTCGTTGTGGTGCTGCTGCTGCCCCGCGCTGCTCTCCTGCTCGTAGATGGCGTCCCGCTCGGCCATGCAGAGGCTCAGGAAGCGGCGGATCATGGAGAGGTTCTCCCAGAGCGTCCTGTTCTCCGGAGACGGATCCTCCTTCCAGCGCAGCAGCTCACAGAGCCAGCCCTGGAGGAAGGATTAGAGGGAGACACAGAGAGGAAGAGCAGGTCAGTAAAGCATGGTTGTTAGGGCACAGGACACAATTATTTATCATTTTTGGACCAAAGTGTGGAAACTGGTTCACATAGTTACAGTCCTACACCTTAGAGAATATCCACATTATTATATATGCTTTTTCTGTGAGAGAGGAGATGTTCAATGCGGCAACAACACCTTCCAGGATGAGAATAAATCAAAATCATAGTAAAAATAGAAACACAGAACAGCCCATTGTTTCACAGGCTGCACCTGCGGTTAGTATGTTTTTTTCTGCCTCAGCTAAAGATGAAGATGTGAATTAGCCAAGGTCAGGCAGCACAGCAGGAAGGGACAATTCAACGTGACGAGAAACACACACACTCCTATATTGAGTAGCACCCTTGGGAGGAAGCGAGTGACTCCCATGTTTAAACACTCCAGCAGAGGGCCATGAAACACAGAGCTGAGGAACAGGACGGACAGTAAGCACCTGAAACGCTTTACTTCATCAAATCAAAGGATGTTCAATGACCTTGATAAGGAAATAGGACACATTACTGGAAGTGCAGAGCTTATTGTAAATCACTGGTTGTTTTCTATGTATATCTTTTTTTTATTTGCACAGAATAATGTGTGCAATGTACAAGTAAGTTACAGACATCCTTTCAGAGGTTTTATATCATGATGATATCCTCATATCGGGTTTTTAAAAGATATTGGAATCAACAATCCTAAGTATGTTCAAAACAATAGAAAATGACAAAAAGTTGTTTTATGTGATATAATATAACTATTTCATTCAGTTTGAACACCAAATGTAACATACTCTACACATGTATCTACCACACAACTATATATCAATATAAAAAAGAATTCACAATAGATCCATGTTGAATATTCATATTAATCATCGATCAATTGCTTCTGTTTCATCTGTAGGTAAACTGACTAAAACCAAAACAAAGTTGATCTTTTTGGCCCGTAGGTCTCTTCTTTTCTGACATTTTATAAAAACGAGGGATGGATTGAGTCTCATTAGAGTAAGGACTTTGGTTTGGTTTTGATCGACACATTTACAATATATAAAATGTGTTTTTTAAGTGACAAACAGGTGATTCTCGATTGCACACACAGAAGGGCTCTGCGGGAGTGACGTGATCTCAGAGCCTTGAACACGATGACCCAAACCTCAGCCGGGCAGAGTGGAGCAAGAGAGAAGGGAATAACACACTGTAGTGCTGCTGTGTGGGAGAGAGAAGAGGAGTGGGGCCGAGGCTACAAAAGAGCTGTAAAGGGACAGAAGTGGATGAAGAAGGAGGGATGGCCGGGGAGTGAAACCAGCGAGGAGGAAACACAGCGTCAAAGAGGAGCAGCGAGGTGTGTGTGTGTGTGTGTGTGTGTTACAGAGGGCTACTCGCTCAGCCGGGTAGTCTGTCCTGGCACTGTGACAGAGCAGCGCTGTAATCTCCCGGCCAGTGCGCGGCAGCACCTTTCATTTCCACAGGATTACACCGAGCTGCTGGTCCACACACACACACACACACACACACACACACACACACACACACACACACACACACACACACACACACACACACACACACACACACACACACACACACACACACACACACACACACACACACACACACACACACACACACACACACACACACCCACACACACACACACACACACACACACACACACACACACACACACACACACACACACACACACACACACACACACACACACACACACACACACACACACACAGAGGGCAGAGCCACGCCACCACACTGCATGCAGGAGATAACTCAGCAGTTTGGTTGTCCCCTGTTCCAACTCCTCCCATAAGCCACATCAAACCCAGGAGGGGTTTTGGAGGAAGCCGAGAGGGGGAGAAAGAGAGAGAAAGAGACATAAAGGGAGAAAGAAAGGGAAGGAGGGCCATAAAGCCTGCGTGCCCACCTTGTTCCTTTGCCACGTTTATTGTTGCGTTTTTAATTTGCATGCAGAGGGATTTGGACGGCGCTCCAGTTGGGCTGTCTGTGGTTTCAGCTGATTTGGTAGTGAGGGAGAACACACACACACACACACAGCCCACTGACACACACACAGATGCAAACACACTACCACACACCATCTTGTCAAAGCCAGAGAAACTGTACCCCGGCCCAACGATGGAGTAATCCAACTCAAACACTCCCAAAACCAGCAGGATTAAACCCAAAGTAGCAGAGCCAATCAAACAAAAGCACAACGTGAAGTCCATTTGATGAAATAAAGTACAGAGAGTTTATTAGTTCACAAGTGTGGATGTTTGTCTGGGTGGCGTTTTACTTTTCCGCCTGTATTTCTAGACTGTTTGAGCTGACATTCAGCTTTTTATAGAAGGAGGTGAAGGGAGAATCACACGGGCATTGGGCGAACGTTTTTATGTGATGTACGTCAAACAGCAGCCAGCGCTGTGGACAGTGGACAGTCAGCATTTTCCATGGCAGTTTCAAGAGCTTTGTTTGTGTTTGTCTAATTGCATTGCTTCCACAGACCAGACAGAGGCAGCGGGGATAAAGAGAGGACAGAGAGATGGTGAGAAATAGAAAAAGAGAGAGTGAGTGAGAGAAGCGATTTGACTCCCTTGTTGCCAGTAAACTTCAAAAGAAAAAACGTGGATATTGTAAATGTCATAAAACTTTTTACTGCTATAATGTAAATGAGTGTGAAATGTATTTCAAGTCAAACTTAGTTATATGACAACAATATTCCTAAAGAATGATTAAACTAACAATATGTTATGTTCCACATTACCCTACTGTTGCAGATCTGTTTTCCCTTTTATTATTTAACAGAGTTTGTTGAGCCTCTCCACCGCAGCTGACAAGCACCAGCCGCTCTTGATTGGATCATGGACTTGCTGCCCCTGCCGCTAAAGTGTTCCAACACCGTCCAGAAAACAAACATCTAGGGCTCTTCAATGCAGTGTACTCTGTGTTTTGTTGAAGATCATTAAGAGCTCTCGATAAATAAATAGAAACGGTGGTTTGGAATAGGCCTGCTGGTGGGGCAACGCAGAATACCCTGCAGAGTTTCACAACTCGTGTTCGGTCTAGAAACGTTATCATGTCAAAGTCTGTCCATCATGACCACAAAGTATGGCAGCGACAGGAACCACACTGGCAGACAAATTATTCGACTGATGAGATGGCTTATCGTCACTTCCAGCAAACCCACAGTTATATGAAAATGTTTACTTTAAAGATAGGACTTAGATTGTGTGGTTGAGTCTCACACTTCTCATCAACACCCACTTTAAAAAAGGAATTTCCAGAAAACCATGTCATTAGATCTTTTGCATCATTGGGTATGTTTAAACATGCATTATCATCTCACTTTCAACTGGTCTGTACTTGTTATTAATTAAACTGATATTGATGAAACTGATTTGCTCGACTGTCTCAAATTGTAATGATTGTATGCATTGCTTGAATTGTACTTACTTACTTATTGTGGTTTGTCTTGTGTGTCATGTTTTGCATTTTGTCTTTTTGTTTATGTATGTCTGTAAGTTGTTGCTATTGTCGGGACCCCCTTGAAAACGAGATGGTGCATCTCGAGGGGTTTATCCCAATCAATAAAAATGTCTATATATATATACAAGCAGTTTTTAATCAAATGTTAAAGACTATTCACTCCATTAGAGTCACAAGAAATGTCACAGAATGATTAAGTTGTTACGGCTTTTGTGTGAGAGACTTTTGACTGTATCCCCCAGCCGACAGAGCAGCATCCTGAACAAGGAATTTCAAAACCTCAACTTAAGAATTAGGATGTTGTGATCAGCCTTTTACACTCTTTTTTGTCTAATTTTCCATATTTATTTGTTTACCATTTGTAAAGTAAAAATATAATGGATGAATTGATCAAATAATTGCTGCGCTGAGTAAGACCAGTATGGGTAGAAGTAACTACACATTGAAATAGAGATGATGAGCTTTGGAGGTGACCTACTGTAATAAACTAACCAATGTATTTCCCAACCTAGATTACCATGAAATCATAGAGTAAGTAGTAAACTGCAAAGGCAGGATGTTTTGATGCTAAATACATCTCTCAGTTGAACTCACAGATGCTGCAAACAGGTTCATTGGAGCAATAAGTACTGACAGGCACCGGATTATCTTGCTTTGTTGGCACACACCTGCGACAATATTGCACAATAATCCGCTGCCTCTAGGTCATCGTTGCTTAATTATTAATTAGTTTCAAACAACAGGACTGACAATCAAGAACCAGCAGCCCTTTCTAATTGTACAGCATACACAGATCTGTCCGGGGGTTAATAGGGCTTCGGGGTCACAAGGTGCAAAGAATTAAAAGGGTAATAAACTCTTCAGCAGGCCATTGTACGGTCTGGGTATAAATAGCAACCGAGGTCCTGATAAAAATATTTCCCTCCCAACACAATAGTTGAATTCATGCGCGAGATTCACCCAGCTATGCAATGCAGTGCACCGTGTATGTGAGTGCTGCAGTCACAAGCTGCCAATAAGCGCATAGGCCTGCTCTGTCAGAGAACAGCATGGTATTCACCGCCCAGCCCGTACACCCATCACCACGGCAAACAGTCCCAACATGAAAGCTCACAGAAACCCAGATGAGCAACTGGCTGTGCAGTGAGACAGGGAATTACAGACAGACAGACAGAGGGGTCTGTCACACGGCCCGGCCAACACCTACCCTCTAATCTCATTTGCTTGTTATCAGTCCCATCAGGCTGACCTCGGCCACTGCAAAAATAAATAAATAAAATAAGCCAACAGATGTCCGTCAATTTGCCATCGGAGGTTTTCCCCCTCCTTCCTCTGATTACTGCGTGACCAAAAATCAAGCCTCAGCTTTAACCCCAAAAACGAACTATACGAGTATTTCACATACCATTTGGACAAAAATGAAAATAGCCAAGATGACACGTCAAAGAAATG